ATATTATTATAGTCGAAGTATCTACAAGAAAAACATTTTAGTAATATAAAAAAAAAAAATTTGGCAATCTAAGTATACTATAGATTACGTCCTAAATTTGTCAAAGATATTATATCATAGATTTACAGATGATGAAAATGAGTTAGCAATATTAAAAGCATTTTAATTAGAAGATGCAATTATTTCAACGTTATTAACTGAAATTACAAATTGTCCTAAATATAAACTTATAACTATATGAACATAAAAGAATTGAATAAAGCAAAACTAAGATCAATATCTAGAGAAAATTGATTGCTTAAGATTAAACTTTGAATTGGGATCATGTGAATTGATTAAGTGTCGTTGCATTTGAATAAATTTTCAAATTGAAATGGAAAATCTTACAAATTTGTTGACATAAGTATTTGAGGTTACTATGTTTAAAACAAAGTAAAAAAGATGATAATATAACTTAAGATCATCTAAGAATATTAATTTCAAATTTAAGAAAAGATAAGACAATAGAAATTTAAAATGGATTAATATAAGAAGATACGTTATACATAACAAAGATCATGTTCGAATGAAGACGATTACAAATAAAATGAATAAGAAATTACTTACAAATATGAACAAGAATTTATTTAAGAATTGAATAAATATTTTGAACTTAAAAATGAGAATCCAGCGTTTTGGAATTTGGGAAATAATATTTAACTCATTAAGAAATTAATAGGACGAATCTAATATAAATAAATTTAAAGATAAGTTGTTAATTAAGTTATAAATTTAATTATTTTAATATATATATATATGAAGTATAATTACATATTATTAACCTTAAGTTTATTAAGATTTTTACTAAAGATATTTTATTAGATATTTTTTTTTTTTTTTTTTAATTCGGCAGTCTTGCCTTAATTGTTTATTAGTACTCTAAAATATTACGGTTACAAATATATATATACATTTTACAACTATCTAATTTATTACAAATAAGACTTACCTGGTTACTAACTTAGTACCTATGTGTGACCTGCTATATGGGATTTTACCTCCTTATCAACCGTCCTGCACCAAACTAGTTTTCAAACTCACTGGATGGTTCCCAAACCTATTTTATCATATATATTCCGCTTATATACTACTGTACAATGTCTACCAACTAACTTCCACCCCTCATCACTTATCACATTACTCCTAATTTGTTTCTTGTATTATTTCTAAATTGGTGTCTTTCGAGTGGGCGCTCTTCATGCTTCTAGTTTGGTGTCCCTGGGGAGCTACTCTAAGAACCTAATCTGTATTTCAAGCCAGGTGCTGCCAGGTCATAAGACTCGTATCTCAAGCCACCTGCTGCCATACTAGGGTGTTATTTCACATTGATCCAAGTATTTGCATCGTATACCACCAAATTAGGCTATCGCTCCTTTTATAGTACTCCCTATCTGTATAGTATTACAGAAGTCTAGATCCTTAGGACGGGAGTTAAGTACCTCATTTAATTACTGTCACAAGCCAGTAACCCGGGAATTTTATTAAATATTGAATATTTATTTATACTATTATGATTAATAGTTAAAAGATTCAAATTATACCTGTTTCGAATTCGATTATAATATAATTCTGGAAGAATTATTTAAAGCGAGGAAGTAGTATATAAAGATTATAATTCGAATTTTTTTTCTTTCATAATATTATTTTTTTACTAATAAGATTTTGAGGATTTAAATATAAATTAGTTAGAAGTTTGATTTTAGATACAATTTAAAAGAAGATTTAAAATTAACAAAAAGAAAAATACTAAAAAATAAATTTTATTATAATATATTTATAATCAATAATACAAAGAAAAATAAAGAAATGAAATCTAATCCTCCCGCATATAATCCTCATCTATATTCTTCTTCCAATACTGTGTACTACTCTCACCAATCTCATTGTCTAATACCATCAGAAAACTACTACTATTCTCTTCACTTGCTAATTCTTCTTCTAACATCGCCTTATACTTTCTTAACTCCTGATCTAACCAAACTTCATAATCTTCTTCTTCTTCTTATTCTTCCTCCTCTTTATTATCTTCATTATCATTATTATTATCATCATCATCTTCTTCTTCGCCAAACTCTTCGATATCATAACTTTCTCTCATTCTTTGTCTCTTCCTACCTCTCTCTTTTCTCCTATCTATAGTATCTAACACCTCAATCATATTGTTCCTCAATACATTATATCCTAACTCAAATTTCCTCTTTTCTATATCTAACGTCTCATATTTTCTTTGTTCATCTTTCAATATCTCTCTTAATATCTCCAATCTAAATTCTCCCAATTCTATTATTTCATCTAACGTTTTCTCCAATCTTCTATTCTTTTCTTCCAAATACAACATCATATTCTTCTCATCTTTATCTGAAACCTACTTATTCTACCTATTAAATTAAATTATTTTTAATATTTTATTATATTAAATTATAATATTTAAATTTTATTATTATTATTACTAGTCTTCTTCTACATTCTTCATATTTTCAACATCTTTAACATCCTCAACTACTTCTTTTTGTTTACTCTTATCTACATTCTTACTATTATACATAAATTATATTAGTTATTATTATTAATTAATTTATATATTTTTATTCTTACTTTTGATGATTGGGATATCAATTGTTATTTCCTTTTTGGCTACAAGGCATTTTTAAAAGTGTTTTATTAATTTTATTTTTTTTAGTTTTAATTTTTAGATCAAAAAATTACTTTATGAAGATAATCGAATATTTAAAGTTTAGATCACATAAAGAAAAATTTTACAATTGGATAATCAAGCTACACAAATAATATTTTTAAGGAGTTAATTTTCAAATTTTGATAATCATTCTGATGTAGACTACTGGTTAGAATATTCACTCTGGCAGCAAAGTAACCCGGGTTCGATACCAGTGAGCGGAGCTATCCTTTCTAGAGTACTGATCTTATATAGGATACGTGATGGTTACTCGGGGGATAAAATATTAGAATAAGGATATTTTTTTTTGTTTTTTTTGTTACTTTATTTTGTTTATTGTTTTATTATTATTATTTTGTACTTATACTATATTTTTAGTTAGATATTTATGCATAGTATGCATAAAATAGGTCTGGGCAAATGTCACAGGCTAAATAGTAAATCGACGAATCAGTGCAACAAACTCATGATTTCAAGCAAATGGATTATCGGAATTTCAGATTGACTAGTGCATGAGGCTTACTGACTAAATAACAGAAAGATAACCTATGTGAAATCTGAAAAAGAATTCCAAGAAGAACGAATGAAAATCTAAAGAGAAGAAAACAAGAATCAATAATAATTAGAAATAGTTTTAATATAGATGTTGTGAAGGCAAAGTCTTTATTATTATGATCATGTTGTACTTATTTTTGTAAGCCTCTTTAGTTATAGTGATCTTTCCCTTGATCTTTCGTGATAAAAGATCTAATTTATCTAATTTATCCCAAAGCCTCTTGAGATCATTAAGATAGTGAAAGTTATAAAAGCTCTGTATTTTTTCTCTTGTAAAGGACATCTTATCCTATAAGATTATGATATTTCTAACCTATAATATTGAATAAATCACCTTGATAATATCATTTTAAAACTAAACTATTGCTAAATTACCATTATCATGCCTCTGGTGAGTTGTCTTATCACTTTAAAACTTATATTTCCATATTTTTCATAGTAAAGAATACGATTCACCCCCGTAACACTATATGAGGTTGGAGTATTCTATACATATTGAATTAATTATGCATACACTTGATTTAAGCTAAAGAAATTTGGTTTTTCCAAATTCAGAACAGTTATATGTAAGCACTAAGTAATTAAGTATTCACTACTTAGCATAAGGTGGGTGCAGGTATTATAGTGAATGTGGGTATTGTGGTGAACTAAATATATAACAAGGAAACAGGATTTTTTACTAAGTAAATCATATTTCATCTACTAAGTAAAGTTATCAGAAATGCCATGTTACATATATTTTTAAAGTTCGGAACGATTACATTAACTTTTCATTAATCGACTTTCACGTTATACGGCTTGATGCAGAAAATTTATCTACTGTATCAAAACATATATTGTGAAAGTCGATTAATGAAAAGTTAACCAAATCACATTAAACTTTGAAAATATATGAAAAACATCATTTCCGATAACTTTACTTTGTGGATGAAATATGGTTTGCTTAGTAAAAATCCTAGTTTGTGTAAAATAATTATTACCTTAAGAAAATTAATATAAATTACTGCATTACCATATATTATGATAGCGATAATCACATTTATACTATCATTACTATTACAAATCATGCTCATATACCTATTCATTTTTTTTATTTCTTTTTTCTTCACTAAAAATCTTAGCAATCACATTTTACCTTTCTTTATGCTATGTTGACATGAACTATTAACTTATCTAAAACAAGATTACTTAAGTTAAGAATGGTAATTTAAATTTTTAATAAAGCAGTCAGATCTTCAAAATGCATCCTCTTGAAAACACAGTAAAAAAAATTAAATCGTAAATTTAAAGAGGGTGTGCATTTATAGACCAAGTTATATTAGAGAGAATTTACATAGAATGTGTATTTGTAACTATGCATTTATGAAGGTCTGACTGAAGCTTGACAGTAACTCTAAGAATATATTTTATTATTTCAATAAAGATTATTAATAAAGTTTTTAAAATATTATTGTGGCCAGAATTTCGGATCTGGGTATGAACAAACCCAAACTTTAATTGTTTGTCAAGTATAAATTGTAAGTGCTTTATAAGTTTATGTTTACTATTTATGAAGTTGACTTTCATTAGAATTGTGGATTTAATCTATACAAATTATTAATCAGAAATTTTAAATTTCATTTAAAGAACTTTTGAGATGCAATAACTAATAAAAGATTTAAGGTTAATCGATTATAATTCAATTATATGAAGAATTCTTATTAATTTCTTCATAAGGTGAGTCAATTATGATCTAATTATGTAAAAAATTCTTATTAAATTCTTCTTCTTTGATCACAATTATATCGTCTTTATTGATCACAATTATATCTTCTTCTTCTATCACAATTACTTCATATAAAGAATTCTTATTAATTTCTTCATTGGTTATAATTACATCACATAAAGAATTCTTATTAATTTTATGAGGTTTTTCTTTATTCTGTTCACAACTGACTGCTTCTAGAGTTTTTTCTTTTTCAACTGCTATTTCAATAAGTTTATAGATTGGTTGATAATATACCACCTTTTTCGTATTCTCTTTATGTTTAATGATATATAGTAATTTAATGGGCTGTTTCTTTTTTTTTTATATCGTCTGGGTAGTGACATTTTGTTTATTAGGTAAAGGCAATGACAGATTAATTTTTTTTTATTTTTTTTAAAAAAAAAATTGATAGAAGTTTAAGCGATAGTAAATACACGATTTTTTAATGCTTTTAAAGGTTGCTATAATTGATGAATTTAATGAATGACAATAAATTTATATAACTTAAGTTATAAATAAACATTTTTTCTCGCATAAAATGATCGATTGCTAATTAAGTCTATGATTAGTGTTTTGACTTAAGTGACTTTGAAAAGATTTATTAATCGAACAATAAAAAAATCCCAAAATCACATAAGTTTGAACTTTAAAACAGCAAAATGCTTTTATTCGAATTCTAGAATGACTTATCAGATCAACAAGAAACATGATAAAAATAAGCTTAAATTTACAAACAAAAGTGATTATTGATAATGCTTAATTTTCTTTTCTCCTTGATATAATCATTGAAAATATGCGACTTATATACTTTTAATGCAGGTTCAACTATTAATATATCAAAAATGGTTAGCGACTTGATTTAAAAGATAACAGCAATTAATTTCATAAATTGTTAAATTTTAAAAGAAAATTAAAACAAAATACTACTCTACATGTATAAAGCTAAACATTAGCTTATAAATTAAAAACTAACTAAATTTCGCTAGAAAAGCCTTGTACAATTGTATGCGTATGATTCCAAATTTACATTCACTATAGATCTAATTTAAAAATATAATTGTAATTGAGCTGATCAATTTATTTTATTTATAATAAATCAGCAATCACAATCACAATCGCAAACATTATTAAACATTCTTAAAGGTAAGTAAAAATTTTCTAGTGATTACAATTAACACTTTTATTTGTTATTTGTATCTAATAAAATAAGTTATAATTTCTTTATTATCTTGTAATAATATAAGGATGCTATTTAAACACTATAAAAATTCAAATTTTAATCTTAAAGTATCAATAAAACTTGTTTTTTGATTTTATTAATATTTTCCTGATTCATTTTATCTAACCAACATGTCATTTATTAAAACCTTTAACCACTATTATTTTATACGATTATTTTTATTAAAAATTATACTCGCTAATACAGTTAATTATTAGAACAAAAAATGAAAACTATTAAAAAAATTAAAACCAAATGCGTAAAAAAATCAAACAAATTAAAAAAAACAAAACTCATATCTAAAAAAATAGCTAATAAAAAATAATAAGGCTTAGTTATGAAAATTGTTATACCACAATTAAAGCTGCACTTAAAGAACTTGCAAGCTTCATGAATCCTAGTGTAAATTCAACTGCCTCGAAGTTTGGAATTCTAGAGACAACACTTAGACATGCTATTGAAAAAGGTTTATCCAAATGTTCTGGTTCTGGGACAGTTCTAAACAAACATGAAGAACAACAATTAGTGGGTTATTGCAAAAATATACAAAGGTTGGGATTTGGCTTAACGAAATTAGGTGTAAATTACTGTGTAATGGAGATAGTACATAGTAGTTGTCATTCCCATCCTTTTACAGCTAAAGGGCCTGAAAGAGCTTGGTGGAATCGTTTTATGAAAGACCATTTAGACCTATCTTTTTGAACACCTCAAGCTTTATCAGAAGCACGTGCCCAAAGGGCAAATCTGATAATAATAAAAGATTATTTTGATAAATTAGAAAAAATAATTGAGGATTATTTACTTACCCCAGACCGTATCTGGAATATGGACGAGACTGGCTTTGTAATTGCTCCCAAAATTCAAAAAGTTATTGCAACAAAAGGTTAGTAATTAAGGAAAAATTGTCTTGTTAAAAATTAAACATGCTTATAACTAATAAGTTACCAACTCTTTAAAAGGAGCTCATAATGTTCATAAAATTTCGCAAGGAAATTCACATGATCATATCTCCGTTGTACCAATGATTTCAGCTAGTAGTAATTTTATTCCTCCACTATTTATTTATAATGGAATTCGCACAATTTCAGGTTTATTATTTGGTGCCCTACGTAGTTTTGTTATAGGTTTCACCGATTCTGGATACATGCAGAAAGATCTTTTCCAAATGTACATTGAGCATTTTGTCAATTCGATTCCCTCTTCTTATCCAGTTTTGCTTATGCTTGATAGATATAAAAGCCATATTAACTACACAAGTATAAAATATTACAATGATAATAGAGTTTTATTATATGCACTTCCCCCTCACATGACTTATATTCTTCAACTCTCTGAGCTTCCTTTTGTCACACTTAAAAGTAAATATAGTAAGGGTTGTGATCAGCTTTACAATAGTAAAGGCGAAGTAGTAACCAAGTACACGTTTTTAAGAATTTTTGGGCCAGCATTTGCAGCAACTTATACTACAGAAGCAATTAAAAATACCTACAGGGCTACAGGAATTTAGCCATTTAATCCAGATACAATAAGTTCTGACCATCTTGACTCTTTACTAATAACGAAACAATCCTTACCTACAATTTCATCTCATTCTAATCAACAAAATTACTTATCTTTGTTTTCCTCTCTTCAATTAAATTTTGTATCTTCATCTTTAATGATTTATAAGTATACTACTTAGCATGAAACAGAATTGTTAAGAGCAAATTTTATATCTTTTGAAAAAGATATTGAGGTTTTGAAAAAAGAAAATGAATTATTAAAATAAAAGTTTGAGTTTATAAATGAAGAACTAGAAACTTATAAAAAACTTGGTACTTGCCCATTAAAAATGGCACTTAAGTATCCTGTTTCTCGTCTTTCTTTACAAACTACTGAACAAGAATCTAATGATACCAAATCTCAATTACACATTACAAAAAAAAAAGAACATTTCTATTTGCCAAACTTCTTACCAATAAGGATTCTTTGCGAGAGTTGGAAGAGGCAGAAGAGCTAGCTAGAACAAAAGCTGAAAATGTAAAAAGAAAAAAAGAAGCTGCTGCCCAGAAACAAGTAGCATGTGAATTAGAAAAAAAAAAAAAAAAACCAAAAGAGAAAGAAAAAAAGCTAAAAAAGAAAAAAAAAAGCTGAAACAGATTATCAAAAAGAGGAAAGAGGAAGAAAAAAAAAAACTCTAGTAAAAAAAAAACACCGATAATAGTCACATAATGAATTAAAAAATGTACTGTAACAGTCAAATGGATATTTGAAATTGGGTTTTATAATTTACCGCCATGGCGATGTATTGCCATCCCTAATTAACCAATTAGAATGCAGGATCAGGTGTAATGTGAAATCGAAGCAATTACGATTTTTTTTAAAAATCAGCTATAGCACAAAATTTTGCCTATGAAACCATCTCTCATACTATAACAAAAAAAATTCCTCTCAAAATTTTGGGTTAGAATCTCTTTGCTAAAGCGCTCTATCCTAACACTAATCTTAATCTAACTCTACTTTCACTCTAACTCTAAACTAACAAATTAATTTTATTGTTTTGATTTCATATTACACACGATCTTATAGGGTGCGATACATCACATATGCGATAAAATATAAAATTCTTTGAAATTTATATCTGATGATCGTCAATCTGCACATTATTCGCTATAATATCCACATGAAATTTAAAGCTGTAGCCCTCTAAGTAATATTCTATAATTTATATAGAACTTGATTTTTTTTTTGTATAAAATTATTAAGCAAGATAAAACTTGTATAAATTTTTAAAAAATTATTAAAAATAAAAATTTTTAGTAAACTTTTATTAGTAGCAAATATTAGCTTCGCCATAATACCTGGCACTCACTTTATGACTTTATATCAGCTTAATAAAAAGTTTTCTCACGACTATAATTAAATATTTTATTTATATACATGATCTAAGATTATATTTTATTTATATAATTATTTATAACAATAATTTAGTTACTAATGAACTCTTTCTGCAAATCCCTAACACAAAATTTACTTAAATTCGTCCAACAAAAAATATTCATTTACTCAAAATTTTACTATGCAAACCTTAACTTTACTTTCTAAGTAAACTTGTCCAGCACACAAAAATACATATAATATTTAAATTTTAAGTCTTTAGCTTTTATATTCATAGAGTAAAGTTCTAAAACATTTTTTAAGCAAAAAATTCACACTTTTGCTATTTACTCTTTAATCTGATTCAAAATCTCTACAGTACATCTATTAAAACTTGTTTTACACACTTTCCTTGTTATAACAAACTATATTTCATCTCTGTAGCTTTAAAATTGATGAAGCTAGCTTTTAAAGAAAAAATTTAAACTTTTGCTATTTACTCTTTAATCTTATTCTAAACCTCTGTACTATGTCTATTAAAAATTGTTCTACACATCTTTCTGATTATAACAAGCTGTATTTCATCTCTGTAGTATCAAAATTGATGAAGTTACTCTTTAAACTATTTTAACTCTCTTTTACTTACTCTTTACAACTTTCTTTGTCTTTTTTTTGCACTTTTCACTATACACAATTCTTGTGTAACATCCAATCACTTCCAAATTTATCCAAATTAACTTTATATTACAGAAATATTAATTTTCCTTTTATATTTTTCATTCTAACAATCAATTTTATACAAATTTGCCAATTATTATACAAAAGCTTATTATTTATATAATAACCCTTTTTTTAGCTAACTTTATTACCTCAATACTCTGAATTTTCTGCACATGATTTTCATACAATCTACACCCTAAAATTACAAAAAATTAAACATTTATAACTTATATTTTCATATATATTTTTCTATATTTATATACTATTCTATTATCTACTAATAATACAAAATCTTTAAAATTCAATAACTTTTGATTTATCTAACCAATTTAGACAATTTAACTACCAAAATGATGGCCTTTTCAAGATGCTTCTAATGAATCTAAAATCATCTGATTCTGATCACGTAATCAAAAACGCCATCAAGATTTATTTTTCAAACTATCTATATTTCTTTATTAAGTTTTTTATTTTTTCTTGTTACTTTTAGTATTTATACTCTAAACTAACTATGATTTAACAAAAATTTCCTCACCATAAGCTTTCTAGTGACATGCTTGACTGGTTCCAAGCATTTCTAATTAATCCAGAAGCCCAAAATTTAATACAATTCCCAACTCCTCTTGAAATTAATATTTTAAATTTCATTAAACCTTTTCTTCAAAACTTTTACTCTGAACATACAACTCATACTTCTAATATTCCTCAACAACCTATTTGTAATAGCTTTAATAATCTATTACAAAACATAATTTTATAAAAATCACAATTTCTTTTTAAAATTATTTATCAAAATACCTCTAATACACATTTTTTTAATTTTAATATTTTATCTGAATTCTTACTTTTTACTTTTAAAAATATTCTTTCTAACTTTACTACTGTTTTTTTTACAAGTCTAAATTATAAAAAAATTTTTCATTCACACTATTTTTCACCTCTATATTCTATTTCTCAACGTGCTCATATTGCAATTAATTTTGCTCATTTATATCTCTTTCTTCATAATAAATATCAAACTATTAACTATACCCAATTTTATCTTAATCTTGATCTTAAACCTATTCGACTTAGTTTATACTTTGATACTACTCACCATAATTCCAACTCTATATCACTAGAAATTAAATATGATTCTAAATATAATATCTATATTACCTTCAACATTGATTTACAATATTTTCTTCAAACATTTCGTATTCTTTCTTTTAAATTATATTATGCACCTTTTAATACCTGGTTTACTAAATTCTATAACATTTATAAAAAACAATTTTCATATATCAATCAGCAAAAAGTTTATAATCATATTAAATTTCAAACTATTACCTTTCTTTCTAATAATCTTAAACAACTACAGTCAGACCTCCATAAATGCAACCTCCCTAAATGCATGTTTTATGAAAAACCTCCATAAATGCATAGCTATGCTGTGTCTCTACTACATATACATTTATAGATTTTTACCTCCCTAAATGCAATACTTCTATAAATGCAAGATTTTTTAAAATTTCTATATAGTCTGCGTGAATTGCATTTAGAGAGGGTTGAATGTACTCCCAGATTCTTACCAACCTATATCAATTAATTCACTACAAGAACGTACCGATACATTAATTAAAGCTGCTTTATATATCTTTTCTCTAACAATGCTACACATACTTTTTATAATTTAATCTTTTTTTTTTTTAAACAATCTTTTATATAATTTCCAACTACTTTAAAATATACCAACCCTGATCTAGATTTTTCTAGCTTTGAACCAAATCAATCTTTATCTGCTACATTATCCAAACCATTTCCCTTTAAATCTCTTAAAGAACTTGCTTATAAAGCAAAACAACAATTTATATAACTTAATAATACTCCTACTAATTTTAAATATAAAACTTTTTTTTTTATATTTTTTTTCAACAATTTCTTAAACAAGCTGTTAAAAATGATAACATAACCAATTTTAATCTCAAAAATGCATTACAACATACCTTTTTAATTTCTACAAACCCTTTTTATTTTTTTTTATTTTTATTTTTATTTTTTTTTAAATGTTGATGGGTCTCACCGTGACTAATTTTATTTATTAATATTTATAAAAACTATAAATACATAAATTTCAAATAAGAAGTCCGACATTGCACGGTTCCATATCGCGGTGTAAAACCTAACTCAGGCCTATGAGCGACTCCGTCCTACCAGATCATGGATGACTGGAATTATCCAAAAAAAAAATTTTATAAAAAACGAAAACGAACTATAACTAAAAAGGGTGAAATAAAAAATAAAAAAAACTCAAAAAAAGAAAAAACAGGAAAAAATAAAAAAAAATTTATAGAACCAGGATAAAGTATAAAGAGGGATTTCACCTCTCTACCTAATAAGAATGCACTATTATAATCTGTGCAAGGCTAAAAAATTATATAACAAATGCAACGATTGTATATCTCTACTATAAAGCTTTGCCTTAGTATAAAAAGTTCTTCTGACTTATGACCGTTTTCAGATATCTCTTTAACCAGAGGTCCCGATCTAACTTCCCCAGAGTAGCACCGTATTTATAAACAGACACATCACGTGGTTGCATTCTCCTGAGTCTGTTCGAATTTGGAAAGTAAACAATGCTGATCTTTTAGAGGGGGTAAGCCAAATCTCCACTTTTTGTAAAAAATTTTGGAAGACCGACAGGAGGGCGAGTAAAGGTAAAAAAGGTACCACTTAACCAAGTAAAAGAGTGAGGCTTCAAAAAAAACACAAGTTTTGTTGTTTCCCCTGTATTCTTCTTTGAAGTAACAGCTAGATAACTTTATCGACGGAGATGGGGCCGACCCCAAACACCACCAAGATTTTTCATACAAGAGCACCACCTGCCAGTTATCTTGTATAATAACGCTCTTGACTTGCATGCCGAATATCTCTTTAGAGGAGTCCTGAAAGGCAAATAACATTGACCTCTAGACAAACTACTTCATAGCCACGTCTTTTCAACAAAAATTTTGTTTTTTTATTTAGTCGGATTTTTGGTTTAAATGATCGTCGGGAAGAGTTTGATTGAAACCCTTTTTATTTTGCTAATATTATA